AGCTGAGGGTGCTGTGCTGACCAGGGCAAGAAGAGGGCATGGCAGGTCTGTGTTTTCAGTGACAGCTGGAACTATCTCATTTCTCATTTAGTGATGACTGAATGCACAGAACCTCTACCAGGGACTATTGATCCAGAACTGGTGCTCAGAGGCATCATTTGAGAGATGCCTCTGTAGTTGCTCGGTGGCAGCCATGAAAAGGAGTCCTTAGAAGTCAGTAATATTTCAAAACCGTGATTGAAGGCTCTGATAAATGTGTCTAGCTAAAAATTAGGTAATTTTTTCCTCCCTCACTTTCTCCCCTTAATTGAGGATCTCTCCATTGTCCCCAGAACTCATGCTTGGTCTTGCATTTGCTATTAAGCTTTTATTTTTCCAGCCCACACTTGAATCACACATTTGCAAGGAGAGGAAACAAGCACATTCAAAAGCAGAAAATAAGAGTAGTTTTCATTTTCTTGTTTCCAGTGAATCGGATGCCTTATGCAAAGCCCATTGAGTTCCCTGTGAGTTTTCCCCCTGACTTCAATGGGCTTTGGCTCTGGCTTTTAGCTCCCGTGAAAGGTCCTGAACTGTCTGTGCTGGGGTGACAAGGAGCCTTGGAGAGACAATTCCCAGAGCTCTTCTCAGCCCCTGGCACAGCCAGGTTGCTAAGGAGACTTGGCCTGGCCAAGTCCTGGAGCTCCCCCCTTCCGGGGTTATTGTCTGCTCTCCCTGCCAAGGCTCTCTGGTGGCAGCAGTGCCACTCTCTCAGCCACAGTCCCTCTCCAGTGGCCTCTGACAGCAGCAATTCCTGCCCTGCCTCTCCCCTCTTGGCGAGCAGCCTCCCTTGCCACGGCTGCTCCATCCTGCTCCAGGGCATGGGAGGGATGGGCTGGTGTCTGCTGGCCTCCCTTGGCTCTGAGAGAGAGTTGGGGTTTGGCCCCTGTCACCACCTCCACACCCGAGCATCTTCACCTCCTATGGTCCCTTCCCTTCCCTTCCCTTCCCTTCCCTTCCCTTCCCTTCCCTTCCCTTCCCTTCCCTTCCCTTCCCTTCCCTTCCCTTCCCTTCCCTTCCCTTCCCTTCCCTTCCCTTCCCTTCCCTTCCCTTCCCTTCCCTTCCCTTCCCTTCCCTTCCCTTCCCTTCCCTTCCCTTCCCTTCCCTTCCCTTCCCTTCCCTTCCCTTCCCTTCCCTTCCCTTCCCTTCCCTTCCCTTCCCTTCCCTTCCCTTCCCTTCCCTTCATCCCATCCCATGCAAATAAAGCCAAGATGGGGAAGAGTCTTTCCCTTTTGTAGGAATCCCCTCTTCGGGGCTTAATTTCCTTATGGAGCCAGTTCTCAGGATTTCTTGTGAAGTGTGTAAGCTCCTACAATCATTTCCAGTACCAGGACAGGCTCCCACCATCTCTAGGGCTCCTGCAGTGCTTGGAACTTCCTGGGGAGCTCCTTCCATTGTGCCAGCTTTTTTTTTTTTTTTTTTTTTTCTTTTTTTTTTTTTTTGTTTTTGGAACTTGGAATTTTCCAGCTTTCCTGGATTCTTTGTGGTTTTATCTCTTGGAGGGAGGTATTTTGAAGTTTTAACATTAACAGGCTAAATGACAGCTTCCTCTGAGCCTTTTGGGCAAGGTCTCTTTGTCAGTCATCCCTTCAGATAGTGACTCTGTTTGCCTACAGATAACTGAGCAGAAATGCTCAAATCCTGGGCACTTTTATGGTGGTGTAAAATTTAGGTGCTTGTGGCCTTGAATCTGATATATCTCATGTGAGCCTTGAATCTGATATAGCTCATATATATCATTTTGACTCTGTTTTGTAGATAACTAATTCCTCAGATGGGGATGATGTTGGTTTTGTATCTAAACTACAAGCTGGTGTCTATCTTTTATAGTGGGAACCAGCATGAAACATCTTGGGGGTGATTTTCTGAATTACAGCATATGTTTTTGACTTTATTTTATAACAAATTGTGTCATCAGTGAGATTGTAACGCTGAAATGTCAGTGTTCAGGCAGCATATATTTATTTCTTAAGGTGTTTCTTCAATATTAATCAACAAGAGGAATAGTGAAATCAGGCTCCAGAGCTATGAGATTTGTTACCAGCTTGTTTTGTATGAAAATATTGTTTAAATAACTAGAGATGTATATGGTCACGATGTTTTAGTGATGATCCTGATTATAATTATTCAGTAATGATAATATCACTTTCAGCAGCCTTAAAGATTTGTTTAAACGCAACTTTGACTCCTTTGCTGGTGCTCAGTAAAAAGGAACACACTGTTTCCATCTAATATTAGTGCAGCTAGTTGTTTGAGTGATGATATCTGCTTACAAATGTGCAGCTTGTGTTTTAAATGCTGAATAGTGATGTGAGATTTATGAACATGGCTTTGACAGTACCTGTGCTTAACAGAGTCCTTAGATGTGTGTGGGTTTGCAGAGAAGTAGGATAACTTCAGCATGTTTTGGATGACATCCTGAAATGAGGGTTTCCAGGAGAAGGTGCTGAACACAATTAAGCTTGGTCATTGGTAATTAGTGGAAGTTTCTTGTAGCTGTTTTCCCCAGTCCTGAATGTATTTTGTGGGCTCCTTGGACCCCAGGTTTGCCATGAAGCCCTGCTGGATTTGCATGGTGATGGTTCTGTTCTCCTGTGCTGTTTGCCTGTGTGGGCACAGGACTGCTCCCCTCTGCTGGAGTGGAGGAGTTGGTGAACACTGATCCATGTGGGGGAAGGCAACAAAAGTTTATTTTTAACACATTTACCTTTAGAGAAGAAATCTCACAAATGGCCATACATATATACTCACCCGTATGCACACACTTTAATTTTTTTCAATGCAACTGAGGGCCAAGAGTGTGAGAACTCTGCTTTTAGTCCTTTGCTTTGCCTCCTCTTTTTTTGGTAGAGGAAATGCTTGACAGTCATCAATAAAATATTAAATCATTGATGGCTATCAGGATAAACTAAACACATCTCATGTGTGGATGCTGGCATAGTAGGAACTTTTCCAAGATGTTTCAGGCCTCATTCTCTGGTTTGTTAAAGGGCAGAGAATAAGGTCACAAAGGAAATCAAACCCTGATGTGGAGAAATGAAACATGAGGCCTACTGACTTCTAAAAAACATTTTAAATAACATTCTCTAAGGTTTCATTTTATACCGAAGGCAGCTGTAATAAGTTTTGGAAGATGGTGTAAGGTTTCTATTAAAGAGAGATTTTTGCTTGCTGGTTTTGTACCCAAATGAAGGAATGAGGGAGATGGAATTAAAGCTTATTTAGTATAAGGTGAGAAACTAAAAGTTCTCTCCAGAACCGTAAAATAATAATTTATATGTTCTACTGCAATTTACAAATTAAAAAATATGAAACTGTTCCTAGATCTCCGAAAATGACACACATAGCCGTGGAATAATTTAGTAACTGCATTGCAAATGCACTTTTGCCACAACTAAAATAAGACTGCTGCTTTGTAGTGTGCTGCCAGCATAGCCTCAGTGAATAAATTCCCAGTAGATGTTTGCTGCATGCCAAATATATTGGACTGTATAAAAGATCCCATTGTTCAATGGCATCATTATTTGCTATTATACTCACAATGTTTGCTTGTGAAACAATTTATTGGAGACAAGTATGTTTAAGAAGGAACGCTTGGTTTGAAATTCAGCTGATTTGGCTTGTAATGTCAGAGCTTTTACAGTATATAGCCTCTAAAAATAAATATTTAGGTCTGCTGTTTTTTACTTATCTTTGAAAGAATTCCTGGAGCAGGGGAGAACGGGGAGCTGAGGCTGGGGATGGCCAGTGAGCATTTCACTTCTGATTCACAGAATTTGTTTAGGTTGGAAAAGCCCTCTGAAATCATTGAGTCCAACCATCGACCCAGCACTGCCAAGGCCACCACTAAACCACATCCCCAGGTGTCACATCTGCACACATGACTTTTAGATGCCCTCCCTGGGCAGTTCCAAAGCTGGGCAACCCTTTTGGTGAGGGAGTTTTCCCTGATATCCAATCCAAACCTCCCCTGGCACCACCTGAGGCCATTTCCTCTCTCGTCCTGTCACTTGTCACCTGTCACCTGTGAGAAGAGCCTGACTCCCACCTGGCTAAAAACCCCTTGTCAGGGAGTTGTAGGCAGTGAGAAGGTCCCTCCTGAACCTCCTTTTCTCCAGGCTAAAGAACCCCAATTCCCTCAGCTGCTCCCCATGAGAGGTTGACTGAAAATGTGTGAGAAATGCTTATGCATGAGCATAGATTAGAAGCTGAATTGGCTCACATTAAATACACTTCAGTTTTCCAGAGAACTCTGTATTTGCCTGTGTTTTGGTGAGAGTAAGAATGAAGCAGTGTTTCTGCTGCTGTGTCTGGGTGAAGCAGAGAGCAGTGGTGGTGGTACTGATTGGAGCATTTTAGGAAGCTGAGCTGCCTCATTTGTGCATCCTGCACGCTGAGGCTTCTGCTGCTACTTTTGAGAAATTCCTTTTGGTTTATTTTAACGTGTTTTAAATCAATAATTATCCAAAATTGATCAATAGTATTTCTTCTTAATGTGTGTTAATACTATTTCTTCTTAATCAAAAAGAATAAATTAATTTATCAAAATTAATCAACAGTGTTTCTTCTTAATGTGTGGAGGTTTAGCCGAGTTGAGACGTTTTAGAACTCAGAGGTAACTTAATTACGGTAGCTTAAAAAAACCCAAGAGGAGATATTTTACCTCATTAGGGCTGAGTTAAACCATGGAAAACGAGCAAAGTGTTTAAGCAGGGTTATTTTCCCCCCCTCCCCACAAATGGCTATTCTTTAAATTACAAGTGTAGCGCTCAAGCCATCTCCTTTGAACTGCAGGTTTTGTTACACGCTCTGGCTGCGGTGTTATTTCGGAGGAGTCAGCCAACAGGCTTACAGGGCTTTTTGGCTGGGGTTCACTTACAGTTTTCTTGGCAGCCCTGCTTATTTATGCATCCTTATTTCTCTCTCTCTCTCTCTCTCTGCGCCGTTCCCTGCCGGAGCAGAGCGCTCCCCGCACCGGCCCATCCTGCAGGCGGGGCTCCCCGCCAACGCCTCCGCCGTGGTCGGGGGAGATGTGGAGTTTGTCTGCAAGGTCTACAGCGATGCCCAGCCCCACATCCAGTGGATAAAGCACGTGGAGAAGAATGGCAGTAAATACGGGCCAGATGGGCTCCCTTATCTCCAGGTTTTAAAGGTGAGGCTTCGCAGATGCCGGCAGCGGTGATGCCTTCTTTAGAGCGTGGTGTAAATCCAAGGGTTTCGAGTTCTGAGCTTCTTTTGAAAGTGGAGATGTTTATGTTAGAAGTGAAATGATGAGTTAGATAAACGTTTGCTTGTCTGAATGCTAACTGTGCAGCTTATAGACACTGTTTTGCTCCTTTTTATTTCCATGAAAGGTCCTTTATATCTGAATGTTTCAGGCATGACTTGTGCAGAAAAAAAAAAGAAAGTTCTTCTAAAGAACATCATTGACATTTTTGTATGGGTAGAAAGCATCCAAAACATACCTGGGACAATCTACTCCGTTTCCTTCATGTTTCTTCAGCCTCTTGATTTCAAAGAAACATGGCAGCTGCTGCCAAAAGCTTGCTGGAGGACTGGGCTGTCTGGATGCTGAGCCTGCAGAGATGTCTGGTTTGGAGCAGTGTATTGGTACTGTCATTCCTGCCAGCTTGGAACAAGCCTGACCAGGGAAACTGAAGCTTTCCAAGCTGGCTGGCATTGCCAAGACTCTGACAGGCTCTGTACCTGCTTGTCCCATGCAGTACCTGCCCAGGTGGATTCCTTTCCCCCCACGCTGCTGTTCTCTAACTCCTCGTGTGATGCTGCGGATGTACGAAAACCAAACAACAACAACCAAAAGGGAAAAAAAAAAACCAAAAACCAACAATAACAAAACCCCCAAACCCTTCAATGTTTAGAGGCTGATGTGGAATATTCTGGTGACGTGTTGGTGGTGGGACCATAGACAGATTGGTGTCCATTCTGGGCAGCAGTGACCTTGTTCTCCTGTGTTATTGGTCTGTTCTAGCACTCGGGGATAAATAGTTCCAATGCTGAAGTGCTGACACTGTACAATGTGACAGAGGCGGACGCTGGAGAATATATTTGTAAGGTCTCCAATTATATAGGGGAGGCCAACCAGTCTGCCTGGCTCTCTGTTCTGCCAAGTGTACAAGGTAACAATGTTTTTTAAAGCAAGCTGGAAAAAATGGTGCTTTGGGAGACTGCAGGCAGCTTGTAGGATACTCTCTGGCCTTGGTGGTATATGTGTAATCCTCCTTTGGTGATGCAGCTGGTGTTACACCAGCAGCCATGGAAAAATTCCCACAATATCCTCTGTACCAGAAGCACTGCTTTGGTTTCTGTTTGCTGATCTTTATTCTCTCCTTGGTGTCTTTGTGTCTGTGTGTGTGTTGGGCAGTTTTGTTGCTAATTCTGCATACTCTGCAGTTCACACAGAGGGTACTCCTTGAATAATGTAATTACAGCCTAGCAGTGTGTATTTATATATACACATAGGTGTGTGTATGTATGACCTGTTCACATAAAAACCCCCTGGAGCACAAGTCAGGTCAGTTTAGTCACCGTGACTGTGCAGGTGGGAGGATTTTTCCAGGTCTTACTCACCCATTACTAACTGGGTTTTACTCAGCAGTAACAATAAAGACAGGCAACCCTGTGACTGCAGCCCACAACTAAATTTACCTCCAAATTGTCCAATAAAAAGGTATTTATTCCCTGATTGTGTATTTCAAAGTAACATTTTTGAATGGAACAGAGATCAAAAGTAGCAAACATTAATTTCTCTAATCCTCCATCACTGAGGTCTTGATGCTGATGCCCTGATGTGCCCATCTTGGGGCAGCTGGGAAGTTCCAGACCTAAGATTTACTCCGTTTGTATCAGTTTGGATAATCACTGATACTTGGATTGGTGCACAGTGTCAAGCAACAAGTCTGGAAGATGACCAGTAAAAACCACGAAACGTGCAGAGTTATTTTTCCCCTCAATCTTTAAGATGTAGAAAAATATGTTTTATTTTCATCTCCTGGTTCTCAAAACTTTGAAGTATTTTCTGTCTTACCTGTGAGAGCCACAACTGAACAAGATCTCTGATTTTTGAGCAAGAGTTGGGATACTTTCCACTGTGCTTCTAGGCAAAGCATCAAATATTTCCAGGTTTGAGATTTAAACAAGATTTGGCAACTCTTCACAATGTGCAGTAGTAGTTACTACTCAAAACTGCAATGCAGTGGGTGATGCAAGGATCATACAATCTAAGACAGCTGCTAAGTTGTCTTTTGGAGCAGAATTCACCCCTTTTTAATCATTTTAGAGTATGCTTTTATGGTAAATTCTTTCCTCTGAAACAGGTCTCTGCACGTGAAGGATCCCACATTCTGTCCTACTTTGTTTTCTCTTTGTTTTTCTCTCAACTTTCTCTTGTCATAAAAGAAGAAGGAAAAAAAAAAAGATTTGTGGGTGAATTTTTCCATGTCTTTTGATTGCATGCATGTTTAGGTGGTGAGTTTAGGTCTGGTGAAGGGTGTTGATTACTTTCTGAGGTGAGCTGGGACCTGTTGGTAAACGCCTTTTGGATGAGGGATTGTGGATGGGGAAGGAGCTTTGCATCTCTCCACCTCTGCCTTTACCAAGTGCAAAGCCCTGTGGCTCCACCTCCCTATCCACAAAAATTCTCTCAGTGTCTAGCTTTTTCTCTTGCTTCCCTCTTGTTTTTTTTTTAGGCTGCCGGTGTTAACACCACGGACAAAGAGATTGAGGTTCTCTATATACGGAATGTAACTTTTGAGGATGCTGGGGAGTATACATGCTTGGCGGGTAATTCTATTGGGATATCCTTTCACACTGCATGGTTGACAGTTCTGCCAGGTATACACTGCTCTCTTTCTGTGGTTTTTCCTCTTTTTTTCCCCCCCCTCCCCTTGTTGATTGCTGCAGAATTAGCACGGCTTCTGTGTCCAAAAAAAAAAGGACTTTTACAATGATTTTGGTTTTTTTAAGTGCAGTTGTCTCAAGCCAGTGAGTTGTTCTGTCACGTGTTTGCAACTCCAAAAATCAAACAGCAACAACAACAAAAAATGGTGTGGGGTGTGTGGCTATTGCACTTAATTGAAATGTTTTTACATCATCAGAAATGCTAAGGAGCTGCATTTCCTTAGCACTTCAATGAGACAACTGAAAATCAGCCCATAAATCATTGTAAAGTTTGTCAAGAGGATGAAATTGAGTTCGTTACAAAGTTTGGAACGAATTTGGCCATAGTTATGTACTGGCTCATTAAAATGCCCGAGCTGTTCGGTGTACTTCAATTCACTTTTACCTATCATGCAAATCTCTCATGGAAATTCCAATTTGAATGCCAGAGGATCATGTACAGAAGCAGTGCCTTCCATATCTTGGGAATCGGCTCCGTGCATCTTTAAACATTGCATGCTCTAAGGAAACAAGTAGTCATTTGCTTTTACTGCAAAGCATGTCTTGCTGTTCTGGGGTTGATGATGTTTCTGTCCTTAGAAGAAACAAACATCAATGTGCTTTATTGCCTGAAAATTATTATCAGCTGTTAGAAGATGTAACCGTAGTTGGTTTTGACATTAGTCAAATTTTCTCATTTATAACTGTTGGCAGCTGCCTCAGGAGTTCCTTTGGAAAAAAACATGAACCACCTGAGGTTTGCTGGGTCATCTTGTGCTTAACATTTATTAATTGTTAATCCTAAGTAAGAGGTACAAAACCTGCATGTGTGTGTTGCTGAGCCTCACAGTGTGGGAGTTAAACATTCCCACTGTCTGCAGATAATTTCTTACCTTTTATTGAAATATATTGAAGAAGGCAGCTTAATTCCATCTCACTCTGAACTGAACCCTGAGCCTGTGAGGTGTCACCAAGCAGGCAGAGCAGTGCTTGTGTAGAGCTTGCTTCTGCTGGCAGTGTTTGCATTTTGCAAGTGCTTGAACAGCATTTTTTTTTAACCAATTTTCTTAAACAAAGTATTTTTCTAAGCCTGGAAAGGCACAAGAAAATTTCAGCATGAAACGTGCATTGCTTGCGGAGTGACCGCTGATGGCTGTGGAATGCTGTTTATCCGGGGGTTGAATCCCAGATAAGGGATTAGGGACACTGTTTGCACATATAACTGTCTTGAAGATAGCTTCAAAATGGTTTCAATCAGAGTAACAGCTCTGGAGAACCACTCCCTCCCAAATCTAATCTCATAGGCCAGTAACCACTGATGAGGTTACTTGAAAGACCACAGTCCTCGCAGAAGAGGGCTCGTTAATTAACGTGTCGCTGCCAATTCGTTTTTCACCTCAATTATGATTTTTAATCCAGCACTGGGCTCCTCAGGGGAGTTGGGCACCCAGCATGAAGCACAGCTGGTTGAGCAGCTGGACAGCCAGCTCCTTGAAACCCTTTTGAAACCCCTAAGCTGAGTTTATAGACATGATGGGGGACTGATTCATCCTCCCTTCCCTCTGTATTATGAGATCCTACTGCAAATTTTGAATAAACAGGCAGACTCAAGCAGGCTCAAGCCCAAACATTTATTTTCAAATTTAGACACTTTTCATTCAGGCTAGCTAATTCACAGTTTTATCTTTGGATGTGCTTTTGTGTGGTTCACACGAATTGCAGTGCTTTTGCATTTTGACTCGAGTAACAAAATGAACCTGAGCCTAGTTTGAACAGTTTTTGCTTCCCTCTAAAATTATCCTTAATGATGCAATATTTCAATGTGTATGTGTGCCTACCTAGGCAGACACATGTGTATGTTTGTGTATGCATACATAGATGCACAAGCTCACACTCAGTGCAGACTGAAAAATCAAAGCAGTAATCTGGAAAAAACAATTACTCACAGATTACAAGATGGCCTAAACATCCAGTGCTCTGACTATCACACAAGAATTGGTTATATTTTATATTTTACCATTACTTTGCTCCAAGCGCTGTGCCGAACGCTGCCCTGTTTGCTAACCCTGTGGCCTGATTGTTCCCTCCCAAAACCTTCCCATCCAGCTCCTGAGAAGGAAAAGGAATACCCAACCTCTCCAGACTACCTGGAAATAGCAATTTACTGCATAGGGGTGTTCCTGATAGCCTGCATGGTGCTGACAGTGATCATGTGCCGCATGAAGAGCACCACCAAGAAGCCGGATTTCAGCAGCCAGCCCGCCGTCCACAAGCTGACCAAGCGAATCCCCCTGCGCAGACAGGTAACAGAAAGTAGATAAAGAGTTTCAAAAAGCTTTTTTCTTACCCCAACAACTGAGCCAGCACATCCCTCCTGCTGAGGAAAGGGAAGAGAAGAAGGGGGTTAATAAATTGTAGCGGGTTGCGGGTGGGATGGAGAGGAGGTCTTAGCACGGCGATGGGTGTCTCAAGGAAATCAGGGGAGGGCTGTTATTAGGGAAAGGAGAAATGTAAAAACTGAAATATGTTCTGTGTTAGCAGTCTGGAGATGGGGGAAAAAAAAAAATGTATTTCGAGTATTTTGGGGCCTGATCCTGCAGCTTGTCAATGGAAAAAATGTTACTGCCTTAATGGGCTTTGGAACAGAATCCTATTTAATTGTATATTTATGATGTTTCTAAGGTGATTATTATTGTGGTAACTAGGTACCAGATACAGAGAGGTATTTCTCAGGAAGACTTTTGAAGACTAAAGGGAGGGGCTTTCATAGCCAGGCATCCAGAAAACACCCCAAAATAGAAAAAAGACTGTAATAAAGTAAAAATAGGGGAGATACTATATCAGATCTTGGACAGCTTGATTAAGATAATGATGCTTTTGAGCAAGAAACAAAAGCAAGTGCCAGATTTAAAATGCACACAACAGCATCACATGAAATACATTTTACAATTGTTTGTGGCTGGCAATGAGCAGTTCTGGAGGGGTTGATGCCACGAGCAACAAACCAGTTGAACAAGTAACAGGACTTTGGCTTTATCACAGGCCACCACTTGCCAAAACAGCCTCCATTCCCACACACTGTCCTCTCCTGAAGGATTTGTGGTGTTTTTAGGAGCTGGAGTTTAATAGGTTTTGATTTTCTTGCAATAGGTCTTGAGGCCAGACCTCTGCACCCCCAGGTTTCAGCCCTGCAGGATGGGGGGAGGTTGGAATCTGAGGCTGGGGTTCACCTCAGCAGCCAAAAAATCTCTGTCTGGGGGGGCTGGATCCAGGCTCTGCTCAGGGAATTGGGATGTGGGGCTTCACTTTGTGTCCATCTGCACCGTGAGTAAGTGGTGCAGGATTTCTGCAGATTTGGTTTTGCAGCCTGTCCAGAATATTGTCACTGTCGGAGTAATACATGTACCTTAAAAAGGGTTCTTCAGCATGGGCAGGTGTTTGAAATGAGGTGCATGGGAGATTCTGAACAGTGTAACATTTTTCTGCACCCTTGTTTCATGGTGTCTGAATTTCCTTGGTTAAAAACACACCAGGGTGTGGAATGCTTTAGCTACCTCTGAAATTCAGTATTTTACAGAATCTTGAGGTGGGGCACCTGAATGTTTTTCAATCTGAAAGATATTTGGCTTGTCATATGAGCAAAAAATGTTAATTCTTATTTTTTTCTGACTGACTTTGCCACTTTGGGTTGTTTTTTTCCTTTATTTCTTTTTTTTTTTTAATTTTATGATTTTACTCATTTGCTTGAATATCACTGGGACAAAGAGGGACTTTTCACTCTGAGTGTGTAAGAAAGAGTGATGAGGAGCCCTCAGGTCAATATTCACACATCTCTCTGGCTAGAAATCTGTGTAGATTTCTGGACAAAGGAGGCCTTTCAGATGTTGTGTGCTTAGCCAGAGAGAGAGAGAGAGAGATACATATCAACTGCTTAGATAGGAGACATTTATTAGATTTCTGCCTGAATATAAAAGCCTGATGACTCAGAGACAAGTTGATGGTCTAAAAAATACCTAGGGTTTGGTGTGAGCTCAGTTGTGTCAGCTGGAAATGGTTCCTCGGGGAGTAGAGTGTTATTTCATTTCATGTGACAGCAGTGCCAACCACTGCCCTCAGTTTAGCTATTTATCCTTAAATGATGCAATATGGACCTTCTCCAAAGCTATTGTTTTCACAGGGGGAAGAAACTGTCTTACAGCATGTTTGTCACGTTGGGGTTTATCAATTCATTTCAGTTTTTTTTACTTTTTTTTTTTTAGCCGAAATGGCATTTGGCTTTTAAAACTGGGAATACTTTTTTTTTAAAAAAAGATTTATATTTGAAAGTGCAACTGCTATTTCAACCCCTAAGCAAAAATCCCAGTGCTCCCAATTGTTCCTGGTACTGTTTTGTTAACAGCAGTTGCTCATTGAAGGCCTCTCTGCTTTTGTGCTTGCATGTAAGAAAATGTAACTACTGTAGGTATTGTCTGCAGTCTGTATTTCTGGTTTATGATTTCACTGGTCAGTTTGCAAAGGCAGGATGAGACAAGCAGTCCCTGAAGATTTGCTTGTGAATATTCCTTCATTTCTCCTTGGTGCTGAGGCTGCAGCAGCTCTTCAGTCTCTGCATCTTTTAAATCTGGTTTTGGATTTCAGGGCTGTTGTCACAAGCGAAGAATTGAAAAATAATCCAGATGTTTTATTTAAAGGGTGTGTGTTTCTGGATCATTCAACCCTGTTTTATTGTGCCACCAAGCTCACTTTGTTCCAGTTTATTTGTATTTGAGAGGACTGTATTTAAACTTGGTGGGGTTTTGTCACTAAACCTTTATTTATCTGTGGATCACGGGAGGTTTCCCTTTGTGCTGTGTGGGAGGGATAGGATGGGAGGGAAGGAGATGCTCATGGCAGGTAGGCTGTGAGAATGGGGCTGGATCCAGGGCTGGGTGATGGGATTTGTTGGAATTCCAGAGAAATGAGGCCACAGATTGGGAAATTCTTGATATTGTTTTCAAAGCTCTTCTGCTGCTGGGTCAGGGTCCCTGAGGATCTGGGCTGGAAAATAATCCTGGTTCACAGAGAGACGTGTGCACGGCTCTGATGCCATCTTGTCTGAGCAGGAGAAGAGTCTTGCTGAGTAACATATGGTTTGGTTTGGATCCTCCTGCACTGCTTAGCCTGAGCTACCACAGGATTTTATCATTCCCCACACGCAGGCGTTTTTTCCCTGCCAAAATTCAGTTCCATTCGCATTCGTAGGAAGGGTCAGGATGAAGTCAGGAATTATCAGCTCCCATCCCCTACAATCCTCATCCTCACCACGATCTGGTACTCAATTTTCAGGTTTTCCATGGAAATCCAGCAGGCAGCTCCTCTTTTCCTCAAGTGTTACCCATGGTCTGTGTGGAGGTACCAGCTTGAGAGGGAGGGGATGAAGAAATTTGTGGGATTGAGCCTCACAAGCTGATTTGCAGGACAGGCTTTAAGTGACAGGGCCACTGAACCAGAAGAGTACAGAGTAGCCTTCAATAGGATGTACATCTATTTGGTAGAACCTTTGTTTTAACAGATAAATTGTAATTGAAGCAGACAAAAAGACAATCCCATCTCTTGTGACTTGCTCAAAGTCAAGTACAAATGTTTGTCATCACTAAAGGTTTTTGTTAGGGCTGTCACAGTCAATCTGTCAAATTTGGACCCCCTCAACATGCACGTGTCTTAAACAGGAAGCAGTGATCCTTTTTTTATGCTTTTGATTTAAAATACACTCCATTAATTTATGCCTATTGTTGTTGTGGAGTCTAATCCTTCATGGAGATATAAAGGGTGTATTTGTGATGAACAAAGACGGATCAGTTTAAAGCAAGGCTTGAGCTCACCCAGAAGAATAGTTCAAAATGGTACTTCAATAATTCAAAATGATGATGGCGGCAGAAATGTAAAAAATAAGAAAAGTGATCAGGAAAAAGGAAAGTAATGTAGTATTTCATGTAATATTGAGCAGTAAAATTATAATTTTTAGAGGAATAGACTATGAAGTACAAAGATTAATACACAACTGTCAGTAAGATATTGTTGAATGCTATTTACCTTAAATATTTATTTTACTTTTTTCTTTATGCTTGGATTTTTTTTATGGAAACCACTGTCTTGTCTAGTGGTACTTATTGGATATTATTTTGTGTATAAGTGTTTCCAAATGAGTGCTTTTCATGGAGGGGTGGTGCATGTGTTTTAAATGTCACTACTTAACATTAGGATTACTCAATTTTGTGTAGTGCATTTAACCTTGTATTTTCCTGCATCTGGTCACTCAGATGGGGCTGCTCCTACCAACAGCTAACAGCATTATTTACTAATTATAATATACAAATATGCATATGATTTCAAATTAACTTTTACTGCAGAGCCTTCAAAAAGGCTGACAGTTATAGGAAATCACTGCATGCCTGCTAAAACGTCCCAGCATGAGTGCCAGAACTGACAGATCTAGGCTCCAGGACATGGTATGAATTATCAGTGGAGGAAAACACCCTTCATAATCAATTACAGACAATTACACACTGCTCTGCAGCTGATTTTGCCACATGGCATTTAAAGATTCCAGCAAAGATTTGTTTGTTTTAAATGCTCTGCTGCTTAGAAATGCTTGTAGAGCATTAACTGGGAGCTGATTAAGCACAGTGTGTTGGTCAGGGGAAGAAGGTGTAGTTAAAATGGGGATTTAATCATGCATTGATGGGTGAGGTTTGGGTGCAGTGGGCTTTTCTCCTTCTCCAGTGCAGATTTGGAGCTAAATTCTGTCTGGGGCTGGTTCTGTTCTCACTTCTGGCCTGCTAAAAGCACAGAGGGAGCACACAAGGAATATTTTCTGGTGGGGCTCTGCCTTCCTGTTGAGGTTAACATCTACCATAGTGGTTCTTTCAGTGCTCAGCTCAACTCAAGCTGACTTTCACCTTTCTTTTCTTGAATTAAGAAATGAAATCCCTCCCTAGAGCAGTGTCATCACCTAAAACAGTGTGTCAGCCCTGAGTGGGCCCCACAATGTTTAATTCACCTGTGTCAGGTGAACCTGCATGGTGAGGGGTTGGGGAGCAGAGCTGCACCTGGCAAGCTGGAAAAAAAGAATAAAAAGCATATAGAAAGCTGCCACTTAAATGTAGATTAAAGCTGACCATGTCTACTGACCTTGGAATAGGTAGGATTTTCCTCAGTCTTTTATAGTGTGCTCTAAGGCAGTGAAAAAAAAATGCTCAAGGGAAGAGATCAAAGGTTAATTCTTCCTTATTGCAGGAAAGGTGAGAGGCCATTTCAAACCAGAAAATCTCCCCCAGCCACAGGCCAGGCTGGGTTGGCTTCATCTTTTCTGGAGCAGATTTTTATAGCCCTTGAGCTGCTGTAACTCCTTGTACTGCTCCAGTTAATCAATCAGGGGAATATTCCCTGGGAGTGCAGTCCATTTGTCTTCTCCCACACATGGAGCAGTTCCTCTGGATTTCTCATCATTTAATGCAGTTTGGTTACCTCCAGTATCTCTGGCCCATCACACAGTTCTGCTGTGAAGTAAACACGTGGAGTAGTGTTAAAAGGGAAACTGGCAGAGCCTTCAATCTGCTTTTTTCTGTGCATTATTGCTATTTAAGCTCTGCGTTTAAAATGCATCACTGGAGTATTTCAGTTTATTGCAAGTTTATATTTATAGGCTTTAACCAGGCTAAGGCTGCTGAATGGTGAGTGTGAAAACCAGTGAAGAGATGAAACTCTGGAAGAGATCCAGACAGTGTCTAGTACAATGATAGTATTCATAAAAAAAAACGTAAAACCAAAAAACAAAATCCCAAAACCCAGAATTCTGGACCATTTCTGATACCTAAAGTATCTAAATTTTGTAGTTTCACTTCTGTCCCTTGAAAACAATGGCTGTAATGGCAAAGACAGGTACAGAAGAAAAGGGAATGTTAATTAATGAAGAATATAAGAATCAAAATTTGAATAAAGATCTTGGTAGAATGACTGGAGAATAGTAAGTAGATTTTGGAAATATGGAGGAAATGGTCATAGAGTATTGATAGGTTTGTGGTGAGAGATGAAAAAATGGAGGCCAGAAATAGCAGAAAAGTGGAATTCAGGAAAGGGGGGTTAAGGGCAGAGGAGCTGCCACACTGGAGATTTGCACATTTCTTGGTGCTGAGCTGGTTCATTTCATGAAACATCATTTTCAAGCTGTTGTGAAATAATGAAAATGAGAAGGAAAGGGAAAAAAAAAAAAAGCAGATCAGATTGCAGCCCTGGTTCTCCTGCTGACTGGTGCAGCTGTAGCAGGTGAATTCCCCTCTGCAGGCTGGGCATGGCAGCATCTCTCTCTCTTTCTCTCTCTCTCTCTCTCTCTCTCTCTCTCTCTCTCTCTCTCTCTCTTTCTCTCTTTCTCTCTTTCTCTCTCTCTCTCTCTCAGGACTCCATTCAATATTCACTCACTGATTTATTTACAGCTCCATAGTCTGCTTTAATACTACTTTTCTGTTTGTGTCCCAAGTGGTCACTTGATTTATTTTCCTAGAGGGATGTGCCAGGTACTTACATTTGCTGAAAGTAAATATTATTAACATTCATGATGGTGGGATGAATGGGGCAATGGGGCAGAAGCAGTCCACCTTTCTTTTTTGAATGGTGGCCTTGTGTTTGTGCACTTTCACTCTCTCTTTCCATGGCCACATCTTGTGTGCAGGAGCTGTTTCTGATATCAGGAAAGGTCTGTCAGCTGCAAATCTGGTAACCAAGATTAATTTTTTGATAGCAACCCTTAACATTTTCTGCCTTATGAAACCTCTTTCCACTCTTAACCTCCGGTTTTAGAAAGATGCCTTTTAAATTCTGATTTTGTGGAACAAAGCTGCAACATGGTGACATTTTACATAAGCAAACCTGGTGGCAAAGTTGATCCTCATCCAGGTGATGAGGGTGGGAGCACTCTGGTGCTCCAGGCTTCCAGCTGGGCCCAAGAGAAGAACCTCCTGCTGCCTGGAGTGAGGATGGGTGCCAGTGGTGGCTTTGTGACTCCTTCATCCCAGCCTGGCTGCCAGATTTGGGCTGGGCCAAGACGCGATCGTGAGGAGAGAAGGAGGATTCACTCTCAGGAGGGGAAGACTGGCAGTACAAGCATTTCTATTTTGTGTTAGTATTCACTTGAAGCTCTGAGGGCAGCAGATGTCAGACTGCTGCTTGCAGGCTTGAGGAAAGAGCCTTGCAGACGATTCACATCAAAACAAATCACGTGGATGGAGCAGCAGCCTCTTTTTTCAGGATATTTATCAATAAGTACCTTTGGTACTCTAAGGAAGATATTGGAGCTGATGAGAAATCACACTCCAGAGGTTCAAAACTGAGTTATTTTTAGGACCTCTTCCCCACATTTCCTGTAGAGTCTTTAGCTAAGAATGTAGTTAATTGAAAACTGAAGTGTTGTGATAGCTTTTTGATGCTTTCAGTATTGAGCACTTGGAAAATAGAAAGTAGTAGAATCATATAGGCTGGAAAAGACCTTTAAGATTGTTGAGTCCAAGTGTAAGCCCTGCCAAGACCACCATTAAACCGTGTCCCATGTGCCACACCTACACATATTTCAAATCCCTCTGAGGTTGGTGACTCCACCACTGCCCTGGGCAGCCTGACAGTCCATCCACTGAAGGAGCTGTTCTTGACTCCAATCCAAACCTCCCCTGGAGGCCATTTACTCTTGTGCTGTTGCTTTTCCTTGGGAGAAGAGATGGACCCCACCTGGGTGTGCTGATTTGGGAAAAGACGTGGTGACATGGACAACTAGGAGTGGAAAAGGAGAACTTAATGGTCACCTCTGCTCATGGTATAAGCTGCTCACTTGGATATCTGAGGGGAGTGATGTAAATACTGCCAGTCTCTTTAAAAAAATTTAATATGATAAGCAAAAATACCTTCTGAGGGAATAAGTTTAAAACTTATGTGTTTTTTGATTGATGGGACAGACTGACAGCATTGACAGCCATTAGAGCCAGTACTGTGTTTACAGGGGAGGCTAAATGTGAGAACAGAGCACTAGAACCAAGACTGTAGATTCAGCCACTTCCTAACACCAGGGTTCTGAGCTGGCTTAGTATCAGCTGCTGGTGGTTTTCAGCTTTTGGGCCAAGATTACATCTCCATCTTTTTTTTTTTCCCCCTTGTTGCATCTTGCATTGCAACCGCAGGTGTCGGCCGACTCGAGCTCCTCCATGAACTCCAACACGCCCCTGGTGAGGATCACCACCCGCCTCTCCTCCACTGCTGATGCCCCCATGCTGGCAGGAGTCTCGGAGTATGAACTGCCAGAAGACCCAAAGTGGGAGTTCCCAAGGGATAAGTACGTGGCTTGCTTCCCCTGACACCGCCCCTGTGTGTCTGAGCAGCCCTAAGCACATGGCAGGGGCAAGCATCTCTCCTCATGTCTCCCAGGGTTCCTCTGGTTTAAAGAAAAGTCTTAGTTGCCTGAAGCTGCTCTGAAGATTCAATTCAATTGTCTGAGATCAGTTTGGTTAAATAGAAATGAAATTTCTTCTGCCTGCAGTCCTGTTTATATTTTCAGATTACTTGCAGGTTTTGAGATGCTCTGCTGAAATGTAGCTCCTCTGTTAGGAAATAAGTTAGGAAAATTTGGTGTGATCCAAACTGGGAAAAATATCCACATGCAAGCACTGTTGAAGGGCAGTGTTGATTTTGCCATGTTTCTTAGCTGAGTACTTAATTGGCTAATATTTTAAAAAACAAGTAGTACAATATGTATGAGATAGAGAAAGTCTAAATTATACTATTTTACAATCTTTTCTTTCTGTCATATCTCTGGGTAGGATTTGGTGTTGAGTTTGTATTGACATGTGTTGATAGAGATGATTATTTTTAATTTAGGGGAAGATTTTGCACGTTGGATGCATGCATGTGCAATTTCTATGGCTTAAAAGTGTTGGGTTTCAAGCAGAGCATGCTGAATTTTGATATATTCAAATTCACATGGCTACATAATATTTTCTTCAAAGTCTGTTGACTAACAGGCAAAATGACCTTTGGATAATCTAATTAAAACTGTAATCGTATTCCTTAATATAGAAAAAGACATGCAAAAGAGAGATAATGTTAACAAAGGTAGAACCTTTATGAACATGATTATTTATCAGAATTAGTGCTAGCTTTAAGAAGTTTTTAGGGCACTTGGAGAAAATAACACCTTTTATCATGGGCAGTTCTCTCTGGAAGATCAGGTGTGTAACTTTTGAATAGACAAACTGTCATTTTGAGCTTTCTGATAACTCTTCTGGAAATTATTTGATTGGTTTAGCTGAAAACAAGAGTACAAGGCTGTAATTGCCACCTGCAGCATTCTGGTCAACAGTGGGGGTCTGTATATGTGCTCCTGTCAGCCCCTGCCCTGGGGGGATCCACTAAATGCGGAAAATTTTAGAGTTGCTAAACATTTAAACCCAGTGCTCAGCACAAATGTAGGGGGAGCAGATTTGCAATGAAAGGAGGCTATTTAGAGGCACTTTATTAGGCTGGGGGGCAGCAGGCACACAATGAGGGGTTTGTAACTTTGGTCCTAGCAGGGCAATAGCACATAAATTAACCAGTTTCCAATGCAAATGTTTGTTCTCTGCCAAGACCCTAAATTCAGTTTTTAGCTCTGGAGAAAAAGCAGGGTGACCTCAGCATAGCATATGCTGCCCTTCAGTCTTTGCACCTTTTTAAAACTTGCATTTGCTTTAGAAACCAGCCCAAAACAGCTCGAGGAATTCTCACCAAGCCAGAGCCCACATGTCACAGAGTGAGCTGGCTGCCCTCAGGAGGAGCCACCTCACTTCTGTCCCCTGCCCAAGCAGATAAGCAGGGTTTCAAATCACTTATCCCTCATCTAACTTTGCTGCTGATGGCATGACAGCCTCTCCCTGTACTTCATGGTGGAAAACAGGTGTCCATGTGTTTGAGAATGAGTCCAAACATTTGTGATATCTGTGAAATCCTCCTGTTGACCATGGAAAGTCAAGTCCTTAAAAATTTGTTTACAAAAATGCTTGAGTCTGGCCCCTATGTTGGATAACATTATCAGCATCACACTCACTGAGCATCCTCCCTGATTCCTGCTGCTGGATGTCACAAGGTATTCTCTGCAAGTAAAGGAGCCTGGCTCTAGCCCTTAAGCACTTAGGCTGGAATCAAAAAGATTTTGCCCAGAGGCTTTCAAGTTTCTTTTTTTATTTCATCTCTTTCTCCTCATGAAGCTGAGATCCACATCTCTAGGTCTGTCTGTTAGATCTTAGCAGGTTTTGCAACCAGGAACATGCTCCACAAAATGCATTCTGCTGAGCCCACTTAGTGACTGCTCCTTTTAGGAGGGTTTGATGTCGGTGCTGTGATTACAACCAAGTTTATTTTTCCCAGTCTCTGCCTCCCCTCTCTGAGCAGACCCTGGGCTCTGCAGGCAGGAGGCTCCTTCTGGTCCCCTCAGCCAAGACTCTTGTGGCTGTAAAGAGCCTGCAGCCAAGAAAGAGCCACTGTGCTGGACCCTCTGTGGCTGAAACTTGACTGTCACCTCCTTGCAGTCAGTGTGGACACCAAGATGACCAGCCCTGTCACAGTGACAGGAGACGCTGGCTGCTCCCCAATTCCAGCCGTGCTCTGATGCTCTTTCAAAGCTCTGCCCCTCCACACTGCACCTCCCCACAAGGCTTGAGGAGAGCTCAAAAGCTGGGTTTGGTGACTGCTGTGCCTTCTGAGATGCTCACTCCACCACCCCTCAGAAAACGCACCCCGGCGCGCGCGGAAACCAACGCGCACCCAGGCCCTTATTGCTTCCATATGATGAACCCCTCCCTCACGCTGCAGCAAGTTGTTGAAAGGTTTTTAGTTGAAAGGTTTTTATATTTAGCCCTGGAATTTCACTGGCTGCACCCCTGCAGCAGATGCTGTGTGTTAATCTGCTGTTTGCACCTCCAGGCTGACGCTGGGCAAACCCCTGGGAGAAGGTTGCTTTGGCCAAGTGGTCATGGCTGAAGCAGTGGGGATTGACAAAGACAGGCCAAAAGAAGCAGTGACCGTGGCAGTGAAGATGTTGAAAGGTAAGAAAATTGGGTGATTAGGGATCAGAACGGGCAGTGTGGCGGCTCTCAGCCAGAGAATTTTCTTTTGTGGCATCTGAACTCTGTCATCGTTGCGGGGCGGGTCAAAGAGCACATAGCTGACCTCAGCCTTCAGCAGTCTGGGGTGTAAATCTGCACCCTTGACAGCCTGTTTATCCTGAGCACCGAGTATTTGGGAGCCAGGAGATGTGTTAGCATCGTGTGGGTCTCTCTGCTTTCAGTTTATTTCATGTCAGAGGCTATCCTTGTGTAGATCTGAGCCCGTTCAGTCCAGGTGGTTGGTACCAATTTATTTTGAATTTAATTGTAAGGTTAGTTTGCAGGAAAGGCAGTGTTATTGGGGGTTTGATAGCTAAGGACAGCTTTTTTATGTCTGGTCTTGCTGTGCTGCCACTTTACATAATAACACTGAAGAGTCCACCAAAGAGGCTGAGACTATTTTTTGGCAGCCCATAATATATGATGTGCAGTGTAAACTGGAAAACAAATCCCGTATTTTGCATTTTGAGCCACACATATTTTACACCAGCTGATGAGCCTTACTGAAGCTCAGGCTGGCACACTAAAATTTATGAACTGAACCTGTGTCTTCTACAGATGATGCCACAGAAAAAGACCTGTCTGACCTGGTGTCAGAGATGGAGATGATGAAGATGATTGGGAAGCATAAAAATATCATCAATCTTCTTGGAGCCTGTACCCAGGATGGTGAGTAGAGAAAAGAAAGTAAACCAGGACTTTCCAACAGGTCTGTGAAAGTCTCATTAATCATAATTTTTCAAGAGGTTTTAAGGAAGCAGTCATGCCGTGATAGGATTTTTAGGTATTTCTTTAGCTTAACAGCAATATTTTAACTTCTGTTTCTCATTATAGTTGCAGCCTTAATATGAGAAAGGGTCCTGTATCATATGAAAACTCTCTAATCCCTTGCTGTAAGGAACAAATGACCTTTTGCAGGGCCTTTACCCAAGTCTGCTGTTCTGCATTGTCAGCCCTGCTTTAGGAGAACTTGCACCCCACAAATTTGAAATGAGTGCTTTTCACTCCTGGAAAAGCTAATTATGCTACATAAAGTGATGCAAAATGGCATAATGCTCTGGAAATTAAAAAAAAAAACACTAAGAAGTGCTTTTCCTTTGGAGATCTCAGGCTATTTTTTGATTGAAAATATTTGTTTTCAGTACATGGCATGGTCTGAAAGGAACAGGCACTGGGCAGGGTTTAGGTATTTTAAGGCACTAATTGTGGCTCTGCCACTCCTGCTGTGGAGCTTTGGGTAATCACTTCCCCATATCCAAACCTTTTATTTTTTATTTTTTTAAGGCGGTACTTGCCATTTTCCCATTTCATTGATTCGCTTAATTAATCATAGCACACTAAAAGCTTTTTTTTACATAAAAACCACTTCACCCTGGTACCTGACCCTGCTTTTGCCACGGTTCTTTTCATGCCCAGGTCCTTTGTATGTGATAGTGGAATATGCCTCCAAGGGGAACCTGCGGGAGTACCTGCGAGCGCGCCGCCCGCCCGGCATGGAGTACTCCTTCGACATCAACAGGGTGCCCGAGGAGCAGATGACATTCAAGGACCTGGTGTCCTGCACCTACCAGCTGGCACGAGGCATGGAGTACCTGGCTTCCCAAAAAGTAGGTGGAAATCAGCAAATGCAGAGCTTTTTTTTTTTCTCAGTTTGATTTTGCGCTCGTCTCGTCCGCGTTCGGGAGTTTGCTGGGGAGAGGGAGCTGCCTCAAGGAGGTTGTGTAACCCACAGATCAGTGGGAAAATTCATGCACTTCAAAGGTTTTTCATCTTTGTTTAGCAGTATTGCTGAAATAAAGCCCAGAGTGGGTCATTTGAAGTAAATACTGTGCATGTATCGGCAGTTTGAGTCCAGGAGCACAGGTGGTCACTTGGTTACACAACTCACATCACTCCACCCATGAGCAGCAGCCTCTGCTTGCCTCCTGTTTCCAGTCAAACCAACCAAATCTTTTCACACTGTGGTGTAAAACAAATGATTTCAGTGGCTGAAAGGGCTTACAGAATAACAACAGGCAGGGTTGAGAAGACCCAAGTCAGCAGGGCAAAAAGAGTGGGCAGAAGAGGCAGAAATAAGTGGAGGGTATTAGTCACTTAAATGATACACTTTACTGTAAACTGGTGTTTCAGGAAAGTGAGCTGGTTGAAAGAATTTATTTATCCTGTCGTGTCCCCAGACAATTATTTCTAAAGCCTGTCTCCAAACATTTCTTTTTAACCAGCATTTTGATTCAGTCATAGTTATGAAACCTTAAGTAGCCCTGTATAACTAACTCTGTAAACATACTGTGGCTTAGTGGACGAGCCATCCTGGATACCCTGGGTGATGTTTGGACCCAAAGGCTAAACCAGAGCAGCAGATAGCAATGATAAGTACTTCCTGCAGGGTGTGGAGTGGTTAGTGGGATTTATACAGATTTCCAGTCATGTCCACTCCCAAGTATGGAGCTGTTTTTAACCAAAGACCAGGGCTGAGTGTAACCTTCCATTCCTGTTGTGTGGAGTCATGATTTTGTTATTGTTTTTTCTGCACTTGTAGAGGTTGGGGAAGAGAGGGAATCCAGGTTTAATTTTGCTTTTATTCTTTTTGTTTTGAAACAATAAATCTTAGCTCAGCAGGGTGACGTGCATGACAGCAAGGCACAACTCTTCTAATGGAGTAAAGCAGGGGTATTGATTAGGTGACACACCTCAGGATATCTCTTTCTGAAATTATTGCAACTCCTGCCTGGCAGTGAGCCAGGTCCCAAGAAAACAGAGCTGATGTGGAAGGAAAACATAAATCTTTTCATCAGCCATCTTGAGAGCAAGTGTCCTCCTGAGGAGCTCTGAAGTGCTGCTGTAGGACACTCCCAGGAGCCACTGCAGCCTTTTTTGTTTGCAAAAGCACTTGGCTGGTGCTGTGCTGAGCTGGGCAGATTGAGAGGCATTGCCCAAGGCAGAGGGAGAGCAGGGGCAGCACAGAGTAGAGCTGTGCATTCCTGTGCTCCAGATACCCCACCACTTCTGTTTGTATTTCACCCGTTCCTCTCCCCTTAGGGATCCATTTTCTGAGCTGGAATAATAAGAGAGCTGCTCTTCTCGTGGTATTGCCATCATGCATGAGCTGTGAGAAGGGCAGTGTTCTTGTTATTTCAGTCCAATAAAGGGGCTCACTGAGACTGCAATAAAGAAAATGGTGAAGGTGATGTTTGTTCACTTACCCTTTGCCTCACAAGAAGTTTTTGCCTTACAGACAGTTGTACTTAGAACCAGTATCCCATTTCCGAGGCTGGATGGATGATTTTGAAAGTAGGGTGCTTGGCCCATGTTGTTTCTGCCACCATAGCACTGCTGATGCTGAGTTAGAGGACTGATGGGATGCAGAAATCCTGCACTGTTGGCTGCTCCTGAAGGCATTGCTGGAGCAGGTTTTTCCTGGCAGTTCCCCATTGCTAACCCAGCGAGGAGCAGAAACTTCATTTTACCCATTAAATGGGATAAGAGATCTCAGCATTTTGCTGGGGCAAGGAAAGAGCAAGAAAAAATACTGGTTGTTACATAGCTTTTTGTAGTGTGTCTATGCACATATTGAAATAAAACTATACAATGTCAAGAATTATCCAAAACTGAGGACGGAAAAAATATATATTTAAGTTGAAAATAAATAAAATACCCTGCTGGGATTCAAAGTGCAGTGTTTCTTACCACACCCTCACTGCCACCTTATATCAACCCTAATAAAGCTACTTGAACACAGGACTAACACCCAGAGCAGTCACAGAGGCCCCTCAGTGTCAGGATAATGCTGGCATGAAGGAAACATCTCCCAGGAGGTGATAGGTTTAGTTTCAGTATCAAAACTATCTTAAAAACAGTCAAACCCTGATTGTTTTGGGTTTTTTTTTTTCTTTTCCTTTTCATAATTGCATTTTTATCATCTTGTGGTCGAAATAATTATACACACCCTAGACAGGCTGCTCACAATTATAATAATGTCTTTTCTATTAAAAACAGTTGCACTGATTCAGACTGGATGTCAGCTTTTATCTCTGCTTAGACAATATAATTTAAGAGAAGCCACCCAATAAAAATGTTCATTAACAGTATTTCTGATGAAACTGCTATACCTGTACCTGGGCACATGTAAAGGAGAGTACATCACAAAATGCTTGGCACAACCTGGGTCACCACCCAGCTTTCAGCCTTAGCAAAAATATAAGATTTAAGCAGACCAGGGCTTTCTAAGACACTTCTTAGGGCCATTGTTCAGCTTGGAAACACCAGCTGAGGGGATGGATTGCAATAATTAAGAAAAATCATATTTCACGGGCTTGTAGTGAATGTGTGGTTTTCCCACCTGGAAATTTAGGTTAAAATCTATAAAGGAGATTTAATTGTGGTGTTGAAGCACTTCCACTTTTGCTGCAGTTTATTTCAGTGGGCTGGTTTTTTTCTTCTTTTTTTGTTTCCAGTGCATCCATCGAGACTTGGCCGCAAGAAACGTTTTGGTAACGGAAAACAATGTCATGAAAATAGCAGACTTTGGTTTAGCCAGAGACATCAACAATATAGATTATTATAAAAAGACTACTAATGTAAGTGGATGGTTTTCTAATCTCTGGAAACAAGTGTTTCTTTCAGTGATTCATTTCAGAACTGTGGTTGTAAAGTTAATGGGCTTCTTGTATAGCAGACTCACTTTTCATCCCAGACAAAAAAACAGGGATCAAGGACATGAGCATTTCTGTCTCCTCTTACAGGGATAGTTGGTTAAAAAGATAAGCAAAGAGGCTGCATATTGGAGGATTAGAAATGCTAAAATACAATAACCTTTTTTTTTTTTTATTGTGTTTCTGACTCCAGTCAGTCATAATAAGTGGAAATATTCCTGCTGATCCCAGCTGGTTTAGCACCCAGCCTAGGATCTTGAAATACAAACAATGCCAGCAACAAGCACAATAAAAATCCTGTTTACTTGTGGTGATGTCACATTCAGCCTTCTGCCTGTATTTAGCTTGTTACAGGTTGTGATGGTGATCTCAAAGTGGAGATGGAGGAAATTTATTTTTCTCCCCACACTGTAACAGTTTTGCTGCTTAGCCTGTACCAAATCAGGAAGATAAAACATTTGGGATGGAGCATTGATACCTGGTTTGAGCTCCTGACACCTCCTCAGGGGATCTCTTAAGGTCCTGCTGATCTGCACTTGGGTTTTGATGGGAACTGTGCAGAACTCATTGAGTTCTACAGATTTTATTTGTATAAATCTGACTTCTTATTAACAATCATGTTAAGTGGCTTATTTGTGAAAATCACTAAGTGATTAGTGGCATTTTAATGGTAACATCTGCCTACTTCCAGAAGCCAGAACCACAATATACAGCAGCATTGGAGGGGATTGAACATTCTTCATTTCAGACCCAGTGCAATTCCCAGCTCTGTGTGTGCAAAGCAACAGGCAGCTCTGACTGTGAGCTTTGGGATAGGAAAACAAAATTTTTGGATTTAGTAATCAATTCATTTTTGCAGGCAGGCTTGTTTTTCAGAAGTTTATTAATTGTGGGGTTTTTTATCTTTAAAGAGCCATAGCAGAATGATACTTTTGATTTTAATCTGCTTATTCTATCATTCTCCTTGCAAGAAATCTGGGAAATTTTTGGGAACTCTTAATTGCTTTTAATTTTATCTTCAGTGCTTGTATCCATTTTTATAACAGTCTCTGTGCTTTAGCCCATCTTAGTGTTCTCTCACTGAAAATGTTCAAGGTAAATGATGTGCTGGTTGCTTTAGCAGACAGCTCTTAGAGAAATCATCCTGCAAATCACTGCCATTTTAATTCTTCTTCCTCTCCAAACTCACAGGGACGGCTTCCAGTAAAGTGGATGGCTCCAGAAGCTCTGTTTGACAGAGTTTACACACATCAAAGTGATGTGTAAGTGGCCTGATTTCAGTGGGGTTTTGGGCATGGGAAGGGGGGGTTGTTTTGCTTTGTGTTTGTTAAAATTCGGGTTATTTCATATATGTTTTGCTGTTGTCCTTTACCTTTAAGAGTTTTCATTCTGTTTCACGTATTAATAGATGGAACAGGACTTGCCCTTAGAAAGTGAGGATTTTATGGTAGACTGCTAACCAGTGCTCTGTTACTAATCTGCCCAGCTTCAAAGCACATGAAAGGTGGAAAATGCTAACCTCCTTCTGTCACTGCGGAAGTTTCCCCCCTTGAACTTATTTACGGATGTGCAGCTACAAAGAGTCTATCTAATTTGCTTGCCTTTTGACATGCTCTGGACTTCCTTCAGGTTTAAAAAAATAAAAGGAGAGAGAGAGAGAAAAGAATGAGAAAAAAAAGAAAGTTCCTGAAAACTTCTTATAAAAATCTGTGCTGAGATTGAGTGCAATAAAACGTAGGCTGGGTACGCTGGAAAAGTTTTCTCTGATTTTCAGAAGTGGAGTTGCTTCCCAGCAGTACTTCACATGTAATAGGAAATCACTGGACTCTGACACTTCAAAACTCTTTTAATGTGTGCACAGAGCCACTGGCTGATGCAACTGCTCAGGGTTTATTCTGCTTCCTATTACAGTTCTATGTGCTTGAAGTAGACATTTATTTCTTATGCAATACAGATGAAGATTCTGTTTTTTATTTCTCCAAGAAAAGCTATTAACTGTAAAGGGCTGGATGCTTCCCAACAGAGGAGCCAAAGGTTAGGCAAGTCAGTGCAGGGTTAAAAAGGAAAAAGGCAGGATGGAGAAAATAAGAATTATCTCCTCTTTCTTTAACCTGGGTGCAGTTTCCAAGCCGCTCTCTCCTTAAGAAAATCATTTGCTGAGGCGTTTCCTGCAATCTCTACATCATTTACAAAGGAAACTATATACACAGGTTAAGGGTGGATCAAACTTGTGTTTTAAAATAACATCTTGGCAAAATATTTAAGTGACTGTGAAGTAAACCACTTCACTGGCTCGGGACTGAGAGTCAGCCTGAGCTCCTCAGCAGCCAGGGAACACGAGGATTTCAGCTGGGGCTTGGAGACTCTTGGCCCCATGGTGGCTTTGAAGATGGCTAAAGATAATATTATTACAAGTTTGTGCAAACAGTTTACTAAAACACGGTGCTGCAGAGCTGGGGGAGCTGCAGAGGAGCTGGGGAGCCAGTTGAGGCTCTGTGCTGGTGCTCACCTGGCAGAGCTGCCTGCCACAGAGCCCCAGCTTGCCAGCCAGGCAGGATGAGGCAGAAAACTGGCTTAAAAATTACCCCTCTTCATTTCCTAGCAGAAGAAGTTAGCAACAAAAGAGAGGGGAAAAAAAAGTAAAAGAAAGGCAGGGTGACGCAAAATATTTTTGTTTTGAACAGTCCTGCTTTTTCCAAAATATCCTGCCACATAATTGCACCCCAGCTGAGCTGGGAGGGCTCTGTAAGTCATTAAGCTGTGAAGATGCAGTGCTGGGCAGTAGCCCCCGGGTGCTCAGAGCACAGCAGACAGAGGCAAAGAGGGTATTTGGGAACATGCTGGGGTCAGTCCCCATCCTAAATGCTGTCCTTCCATCTGATGCACGTCCCAGATCCCTGCCCTGCTCTGGGCAGGCAGACCTGGCTGAAACACCTCTAGGAGGGATGGGATCTCTGCTTCCAGGCAGGTCTACTAATGCAGTTTTCTCTTTGGTTTGCAGTTGGTCATTTGGTGTGTTAATGTGGGAGATCTTCACCTTAGGAGGGTCACCCTACCCAGGAATCCCAGTGGAGGAACTTTTTAAGCTGCTTAAAGAAGGGCACCGGATGGATAAACCTGCCAACTGCACCAACGAGCTGTAAGGACCCTGCCCTGCTGTGCCAGGGCTGCAGGGCACAGCTGTACTGAGTTCATGTGTTTAGTGATACCCCCAGAAGAATCAAACACTTTCAGAGCTGCTTGACTCTAAAATTCAGGGTATTTGTGAGGGTGTAGGTGGGTAAGGAAAAGGTATGGGAAGGATTTCAGGAAATGTTTGGCAGAGGATGCTTCTTTGCACACCCTGCTGTGATCCTATTGCAGGAAGAAGAAATCATCTGCAAGCCAGTCTCTGTCAGTGTTTTTACGCCCATATTTGTTTGATTTTAATGTTATTAACATAGAAATTCATAAATGTTGCACATACCACTAATCAAAGATGAGGTACATCAAGCTGCTTTTATACAGAACAAAATACATCTGGAATTCCTGTGTTAACACAGCATTATCTCCTGGTGGTGTGGAGAGTGTGATTTCAGATATTCCAATACAGACCTTAACTATATTTAAAATTTTTTGCATTTTAATCTCTTCACAAAGACTGCAATCCCTGACATATTAAAAGTATTGTAATTTAATGCCTTTGAAGTTGCTGGGCCACAGAATTGGGCCCACAAAAAGGTAATTTAGACACTGAGCAAGGGAGAGACAGGAGTAGGAAGCCCCTGTGAGGCAGGGAGTGCTGGCCAGGATTTCAGTGGGATTTTCAGTGGCCCATGTGTGTGCTTGCTGCTTTCCTTGTGAAGGGCAGCACTGACTGTGCACGGAAAGGTTTGTGAGGAGGATGTGTGATTTTAATTAAGCCAAGCAAATGTGTGTTTCTTCCAGCTATATGATGATGAGAGATTGCTGGCATGCTGTGCCTTCTCACAGACCCACTTTCAAACAGTTGGTGGAGGACTTGGATCGGATTCTCACTCTCACAACTAATGAGGTAGGTAAATTGTCTCCCCCCCACAAGCTGCTGATCAGGAAAAATGGTTCAGGGGACAGATGGAATTTATTCAATTATGAAATCCCGCTCAAGTTCACTCCTTATTCTGTTCGTCATTGTCCTCTGAGGTTACACGCAGCTAAGCTATGTATCCTATGAAATCCTGGCTCTCCTGCCATTGTGCCTGGAATTATGTAACTAAAAAGAAGCACATCTTTGAGGAGTTTTTGTTCATTTCTCGCTGCATCTCTGGATGCTTTTAGTGTCGAGGGACAGGCACGTGGCAGGTTGAGGGGCAGTGTTTGTGTTTCAGCAGGAATTGCACGTGAGGGAGGGGTGTGGAGTTCTGCTGGTTCTCATTTGCTGGCTCAGTTTGACTCCCAGCCATGCTATGTAGGTCAGGAGAGGAGAAACTGTCAGTGGCAGATTTCAGATGATGTGTCTGAGAGTGAATTAGGTTCACTGCAACAGCTCTCTGTGGAGGGAATGAGGACCCACAGGGGATGTGCAAACAGCCATCCAATTATCCAAAGGTCCTGCCTAGCACTGCTTCAGGTTGGGCTGTGTGAATGCAGGAAGGCTTTATTTGAAGAGCTTTCTTTCAGAGGTCTGAGATATTATTAGTTTTAGCAAGGAACACACTGATTAGGGTATTCACACAGGAATCAGTCCTCTTATCACTGAACCATGTGCACCTTTGAAAAAATCACAAGTGATGGAAATGTTGATTCTTTTGGTGGAAATTTCTTTTGAGAGACAATACTTGGTGTCCCAGAAATATTCTACAAACTCCTATTATTTATGAGAAATGAAATGCTTAATGGGAGCAAAAAAAGAACAAAGCAGTTACACAGGGAAGTTGCAACAACTGGATTTGACCATTTCAAAACAAGATTTTGGTATTTGTTATTGCTTCTTTGTAGAAAAAAAGATTTTAATCACTCTATGTGGCTCCTCAACGTTATTATGTTCTAATTTTTTTGAATTGTTAGAGAAATAAAAAATGGATTGTGAAGCAGCTTTGGGAAAGCCTTTTCACAATGGAGATGACAGGAGAACCTGAATAAAGAGGTGGCATTTTTTATGATCGTTTGCCCAGATCTGGTTGAAAAAGATTCTTTGGCTTCAGTAGCAGCTGTAAATTTATCTGGGTTCTGTTTTTAAGGCTTTCTCTAAAAAGAGTGGCACCTTCAGGGCGAGATATGAAGGAATATGCTCTCTCTCTGGAGCCATGGATGTAGCCCTGTGTCCTGTTACCATTTTCACCTCATCCAGTACTCCCTGCATCTTCTCCTGCCTAATTCATACATGATTTCACAAGACCAGTTGGAGGTGGGCTGGCTGCCACTGCAGAGTGCTGGGTGGCTTGGACTGGATACGTGTTTGCAAATTCAAGAGGGAGGTTCTGGGCTGCAATTCCAAGCCTGGGAAAGGATATTGCTTTCTTTCTTGCGTGTGTTTAACCGTCGAGCCTTCCCAACCCCGTACTGCTCATAGACCTGGAATGATCTCAAAGTTAACCTGAAAAGGCCTTTAGGGTTATGTAAATTGCTTTAGACTAGAATCATAGGAAAAAACGTCTGGAAAAAGCTTAGGAACGCATCCAGTCCATCTGATGGGCCTGTGGCAGGGCCCACTATACGTTTGTCATTCCTGACAGATGTTTATGTAACTTGTCCTCACAGATCTCCACTGCTGTATTTCGGCATCGCCTCTGGACAGCCTGTTGCTTTGTTTTCCTAATCTCTAATCTTTCAACATCAGCTATTGCTTTTGTCCTATTTACCCTGGACATAGAAAGCAAATCATTTCACTTGTCTTCGCAGCGCGTTTCATGTTCCCGAGCGCTTGTCGTCATCTCGGTGCCTCCTGAGAGCTCCAACGTGTCCCATTTTCCTCCTTTGGAGATCTCTGATTCTGTGCAATCTGCATGGTCTTCCTGAAGTGCAGATCCTCCAGGCTCACTTCTGCTTGTCCTCTCCCCACTCTCCCTTTCCCCCCAGAATAACCCTGGCTCAGTCTGGTTTACCCAACAATTCATTTTGCTGGGGTAGCCAATAATTTCTTCTGCTTTTGTGCAAGTAATGATTTCTGCTTAAATAGTAACACCTCGCTCCTTACCATGTCGAATCATTGCTTGTTGGGTTTTTAATGTGTTTTCTTGCTGTGTTTTTTTCCCCAAAAGACACTCATTCCCATGTTTCTGTGACCCACATGAGCAGAAGTCACCAGGAGTCAGCCTCATGGCTGTGGTGCTTCGTCAGCACCAGAAACCAACCTGGTGCTGGTTCTTGTGGCCCTTGGTGTGACTCTGGCTGTTGACACTGGATAAGGGCCCTATCTTCAGGGCTGAATTAATATCTGAGTTACATCAGGTCTTCTCATATGATGAGCCATATCTGATAGCCCCTGGGAAAGTCTTGGTTCTTCAGAGACTGGGATCTTTTCTTCTTCTATCTATTTAGAAAATGTCTGGTTATTTCTGCTCACATAGGGCTGATTTTCTAATCCACAAATATGTAACAGGATTGCCCTCGTGGATTTTTCAAGAGCCTGGGCAGCCACATAGTCAGTAATCAATAGATCCAAACTCCCTCCTTTTGGTCCCTATTAAATTTTCCAGCATTTTAAAACATACCACACCCTCCTTTTAAAATGGTGGCCATTTTTAAACTCTAAGATGGTAATGACTGAATCTCTGACTTAAAAAAAGGAATGTTAGCCAAAGGACTAAATTACCCCAAACCTAAGCACAGCAGCATAAAATACTGACTGAGGTGGAAGACTCGACTCGTCAGTGCGATCATGACTTGTGGTTTAGCAAATGAAGAGATTGCATTTAAATGAATGCAGCTGCCTTTAGAAGTTAAAAGAGAAGGAACATTTCAAGGGGAAAAATAACTTTATTCTCTTGCCAAAACTGTTGTTTCTAGCAAAAGAGCCTTAACCCAAAACTTGGATTCAGCAGATGATATTTCCTTTTTTAATGACTGCTTTGGTCATGGCTACTCTGGGACGCACAAGACACAAATATGTGGTGTCAAAAACCCAAATCGTGTGAATTTGATTTTGTTTTTCCTTCAGATCTTTTTTGCACGTATGCCACTGCATGTTGAAACGCAAATTTAATATCACAGAATATAAAACAGAGATTCAAAGTGACCAAAGGCATACAAAGTTGGAAGCGTCTTTCCCTCTCCAAATCACTACCATGTGCTAAAGAAAAATGGTTCTATTTAGGATGAAATTTCATTTTTATCATTGCGAGTGAAAAGCCCTCTTTTGATGTGGTTGCCATGTTTATTCCCACTGACACAGCTAATGCTGGTGATGTTGGAGTTCAGAAAATACCGTGTTATTGGCTTGTTTTTTCTTCCCCTAGTCGAGCTCCTTGTTTTATGAGGTATTTAGGCAACAAGGCAGTTTTGAACGCAGCTGATTCACTGCGAGCGAGCGTCATTCTCAAACCGCCCTCTTCCAAAATCTGCGCAGTGGTGACATTTCACTGTCAGCTCTCCTCCCTGACTAAAAACTGGTTTTATTCCTCTTGCCACAGGAGTATCTGGACCTCAGTGGGCCTCTGGAACAGTATTCACCCAGCTACCCCGACACGAGGAGCTCGTGTTCCTCGGGGGACGACTCCGTGTTCTCCCCAGACCCGATGCCTTACGAACCTTGTCTCCCCAAGTACCAGCACATGAACGGGAGTGTGAAAACATGAAAAGAGGAGCAAAAGAGGCAAGAGCACCAAGCTACCTACCGTATGCAAAGCTAAAGCTTTCCTCCAGGACCTTCATGTTTCTGCTTGTACATAGGAGATGCGGAGAAAAAAAATAAAGAGAGAGGAAAAAAGGAAAAAAAAAACAACAATTTGGAGGAAATCTACATAAAGATTCTCATCACTTGCAGCTTTCAGGTGTTCCCAAGAAAGAAGAATGTTTATGAGCTGTGTCTAGATACCCATTGCTATCAATTTTCTGGCTTCCTGTGAGCTGCAACAGACTTTGTTTGTACAATGGACCAGTTGGACTTGAGGCAAACTCTGGGTCTGCCTTTCTTGTTTATTTTGTAATATTTGGAGAAAATATATGTTGGCACACACTTACAGAGCACAAATGCAGTATATAGGTGCTGGATGTATGTAAATATATTCAAAAATATGTATAAATATATATTATATATATTTACAATGAATTATTTTTTGTATTGATTTAAAAAATGGATGTCCCAATCCACCTAGCAAATTAGTCTCTTTTTTAACAGCTATTTGCTAAATGCTGTTCTTACACAGAATTTCTTAATTTTCACCATCCAAAGGTGGAAAATACTTTGCTTTCAGGGAAAATGGTATATCATTAATTTATTAACTAATTGGTAATGTACAAAACAGTTAATCGTTTATAGGGTTGTTGTGTTTTTGTAATTTAAATGGCATTTCTATGCAGGCAGCACAGAGGACTAGTAGATATATTGCTCAGACTTTACTAGTTTTCAGATCTTTAAGAAAAGAAATATTTACAGTATATAACTAATTTGGGGAAATTAAACTTTTGATTTATTTGTGTTTAAAAACTGCAGTGTCAGCTGATTATTCTTATCACAACCAAATCCTTTAACAAGAAAGTCTTTTTCCTTTAAGGTCCAAAAAGCAGAGTCGTTCCACTCCAAAATAAAGAAAATAAAGGACATTTTGAAGAAGGTTCTTAAAGTAAGGAGAGACATGGATTGATCTATAGGCACAGCAGAACAGACTGCTCTAAAAGGAGCTGAGCTTCTACCCTGAGTTGCACATGCATCAAATTATCTACAATTCTCTTGCCTCAGTTGGATAATAGGTTCCAGACCTTTTGGCCTGGATCTTTTGCCTTTATCCCTCTATTGTAACTTAAGTTAAAAAGAGAGAAGTTGTTTATAATGACAGCTTGCCATAGGAATATCAGCATCTTTTTAGGGGATTAATTCATGCTGACTCCAGTATTTCCTTCTGAACCATTCCATAACAGTAGGTGTAGCACTGGCCGCTGCTAGAATATCACTGTTGTTTGCATCTTTTTTACAGAATCTTGTATTTTTACTTTCAGAACATTCACATTGATATGGCCATGGAATATGAATGCAAATTTCACTGTTTAATGTGGTGGTGTGTTTGTTTTGTTTTTTGGGTTTTTTTTTTTTTTTAATAATTTTTTAATTGGGTAAAATAAGTATTAAAATCTGTTAACTTTTGTACTGACAATAAAATGTTTCTACAGATATTAATGTTAAAATTACAAAATAAATGTCATGCAGCTTATTTTTCCTAATCCTTTGTGTCATACAAAATGGTTTCCTGAACATCAAGCGATGGAACACGTCCAGAAAAGCTTCCTTTGGACCTTATCATAGATCCTATATCACAAAGCAATCCTTTCAGGAATAATGCTTTTGCCTCTGTCTTTTAAAAGTCTACTCATGAATAGCATGGGTTATTTGAGTAAACATATATACAGTCTTTGGTGGAAAATGGCTTGAAGTGTTCATAGTGCAGACCCAAAGTATGTTCTCTTTTTATTTAGGCTGTATCCTTTAATTAGTGAGGTTTCTGATTCATTCAAGGGGAGCTGGACAACCAATTGCATGGGAGATTTTTAAAAAAATCATAACAGATGCAAAGAGGGGAAAAGTTTGGTGTCATGGCAAGAGTTCAAAAGTCTTCTGTTGTATTTTTCCTTTTTTTTTTTAAACTTGAAAGCAGAAGGAAGACACCCCAAAACAGCCTTGTGCTTGAGGCAGAACTTCATGGTCACATTGCTGCAGGTTAGCCTGGACAGGGATGTTGGATGTGCTCTGGAAGTGCTTCAGACCCCAAACTGTTCTTTGGTTCCTTTCTGCCTCTTTCTACTCTGACTGAAAACCCCATGCCAACGCTAAGAAACTTCTTCTAAAAATTCCTGTTAAAAACTGGCGGTTTTCAATTAAGAATTATCTGATTGGAAGATTCCCATTGACTTTCACTGGAAACCATAATTTCCTTTCCCCACAACCTCTATTCCAATCAGCAGCAGTGGTGGCTACTGTGACAGAAACCACAATGGCTTAATGACACATGTCTGGTTTTAAGATTTTTTTTAAAGGCTCTCAGAGGATCTTGAATCTTGCTCTGCTTGTATTGAAATGGATTTAAGTGCATCTCTTCTGCTTTGGTACCTTTTTATAAAAACAGTTGAAAATGTACAGAAATGTGGTGGAAAGGTGCTGTTAATTAATGGAAACTTATTTGTTGCCCTGGTTTTGTTTCAAACAGGTGAATTGGGTTTTCTGTGTTCATTTTCTTAGCTCTCAAAGAGTTAGATTTGCACCTTGGAGGTATTCCACAGTTCCACAAATGTTATCTGAAGTCTGTTATGTCTTTTTCCTAATTTTATGCTGTAATCCCTGGATTAAGTTTTTATTCTTTCTTGCTATCTGAAGACTTTCTTCTCCTCTGCTGCTGTCTGATCTCCTTCTGTGGAAACCCTGGCTCTAGGGCAGGGCACAGAAGCCTCAGTTTTTGGTTTTTGGGGAGAAGCAGATTATCCTCCGTGTGTGGAGTTGCAAGAGGAAAGTAGGCACCAGAAAATAAAATCTGGCACTGAAACCTGTTCAAAATCCTACCTTTGGGTCGTTCATGAATAGAAGGCTTGAGGATTTGGGATTGCTGTCTCATCTGAAAGTAAAGTTGCCATTAATGGGAGCAGTGCATTTTGTCAGGAAGTGGATTTACACTGATACATGTGGATAATGAGGGCTGTGTTCTGTGTGTGATCAGTTCCCTTCAGCATCTCCTTGCTTTTTGTCCTTTCCTTAGGTACTGATTTGAATCAACTCTGTGTAATATATGGAACAATAATGTAGAAATGCGGTTTCTTACAGCTCAAATCCGTGAACAAGTTGATATTGCCTGTTTTGGAGGGTTTCCACTTTTTTACTGTAATTTAGCAAGTAGCAGGGGTGATATATATCAGACAAGACTGCAATTTTTGGCTGTAATATACCAAATAGCACAGGCTGTATGCATCAGATTAGAATACAGCTTGTTCTTTCTTCTGTTGATGTTATACCATCCAATATCTGGTTCATTTTGCCTTTACAAAAGAGTTCAGCTGTGCTGGGAGTTTCAAATTTGTATAAAGACAAACAAATTGACTGTTTTATTTCTGGAAGCAAGATGAGCAAGGCTGTGTGCACAATGCAGCAATTTTCATGTCTAGCCCTTGAGAAAAAAGCACCACAGAACCCTGAGGTTTAGAGAGCATCATTTTAGTGAAAAGTTCAATGATCTCAAAGTGATAAATTAAACCAAGAGAAGGTTAATACCAGTGATGAGTTTTAAAGATTTTTCTGTAGTGCAGGAAATTTTATGTGTATGTCTGATTAGGAAAAGGAAAATACTGTCAGAAGACAAGTCCTAGTAACTTTATTATGTTTTAGTTTTCTTTACATTTTTTAAGTGGCCGAACATACTTGAGGAAAAAAAAAGAAGTAAATAGTTGCTATTCATTAAAAAATACCCCCAGCCATAGAAAGGGGGGAAAAAAATCCAACCAACACCTGTTTTTGAAAGGTCATCTGTCCATTCCATAATCAGGAAGTTCTGTACTTGCATAATTTGATCTAACAATTAGAAAAAAGTCATTGATTTTTCCACAGTAAATGTAATAAGGTTGTTGGGATGAGGCATAAGGTGCCTCCAACAGTTTGTTCTTGGAAAGACTGCCTGTGAAAATGTCTGTACTCCTGAGATTTTGTTGCCACGAGTCCTGAATGTTACAAGCAGCTTAAATGCAGCAGATTTTGTGGAGCAAGTGTTCTTTTTTATCCCCTTTTATTAGATTTGCCTGTTAACCTTTTCTGTAGAGCTCCTAGAGGAGGGAGAAGATGGAGACAGCGCTGAGAGAACGAGGGGAGGAGGTACCAGTTACTTCAGGGTACTTCTATCTGAATTTTAGGAGCAATTTCTTCACTTTGGGACCACTTGGACACTGGGATGAACTGCCTGGAGAAGCAGTGGAATCTTCCTGGCTGTAGATATTCAGGAACTTGGCTTGCCAGGGCCGTGGATAACCTCATCTAAGGCCCTGCTTTCAACACAAGGTTGGCCAAGATGATCTCCGGGGTCCTTTCCAGCTGAAACTTTGTGATTTTGCAAATCTGTGCTGTTGGCCAAAGGTAACCCAGATCTGCAGCAGAGTCCTGGAAAGCTGTGCTGGCACATGTGGAGGCTGTCAGTGGGATGTATTGTTCAGTAAATTCAATTTAGTGATGCATTTAACAAGAGAGATCCCCCTCTATTAAGGATGGTAAATGTCAGGTCCTGGCTTGTTTGTGATTATCACAGCTGGCCAAAAATGTTGGGATTGGATTCCTGTGCAGTGTTTTGTCAGAAGCTTTCTAGAGCAAGAGTGCCCTGCAGAAGATGGAGTATTTTGACTTTATCAGAATTTTGACTTTATCAGATGGAGTATTTTGACTTTATCAGAATGATAAAGACTCAGAAGGAAATGAAGCCATTTTAAGTTGCAGCTATTTAATAGTAAACAGTGGCATAAAATGTCAGAGTAGGAAATGGAGTATTTAGATTTTGTCAAACCAGAACAGACTAGCTCTAACTGGCATCCAGTTACCACAAATAATTTTGCTTTTCAAATGTTTTGTTTCCAGTTCAGGCTGAAGATGAGGTTTCCTTGAAGAATACACTTTGCAGGATCAAAGATTTCCATATTGCTCAGACTATCAACCAATGTTTTGATGGTTTTTTTCCCTGATTCTCCAGCATTTGTCCAGAGGAGAAGTGGAACCAGAGGGAGGCCAGGGGCAAGGATGGTTTTGGGATGGTTTGTCAGGGACTTGGTCCCATTTCCCTTGCCCAGCCCTGGGTGCTGGAACCAGGTTCTTTTCCTTGAAATAGTGAAATACTGGGAAAGCTTTTCCAAAGTCCTCATTTCCAGGGAGGAATAACAATTCTCTGTGGCAGGGGAGCAGCTCCTCTCTTCTGCTGGGGCATCTCTGAATTGTCTGAGAGGGTGGAGAAAGAGGCCAGCAAACAGGAGCCCTGGTGTCCTGCTGGAAATCCATGGCCCATTATACAGAAACCAATGGGAAATACAATTTATGGCGGGAAAAAAAAAATCAATACTCCCCCAAAACTGTTTTAAAGACATCTGAGAGAAGGTAGCCAAGGTGCAATATTTTCTCTATATGTGTTTCCCTGGCACAACTATAATTTATTTTAGGGTTTCTCAGCAGCATGCAGGACTTCTTATTCCAAAAGTTTCTTGGCCCAGAGATGCACGAATTGCCTGCTGAATACCAAATTCAGTAAGTGAGGGCTCTGCCATGGGAATGGGGCTCTGTGTGTCCAGAAGGCTGGACAGGGCAGGTGTGACCCTGCTGGGGAAATTGGGGCTCATCTTCTTACATGGTGTCCCAGAGTCTCAAGGGTCATGTGCCAAATCCTGGGTGCCAAAAGCACTTGAGAATAATTTTCCACCACCACAAATCCTCCTGGGGAAATCCTGGCCTGCAGTGACAAAGCTGAAGCTTTTTCTTTCATGAATACTCCCCATTCTTACCTATTCTCTTGAGTCTATTTCAGTTATTTTCAGTAAGTTTCTTTTTTAAAAGTGTTTGCATTTTTCAGGTCAGACAACTGAGAAAAAAAACCC